CTCACCTATTGAAATATTTCTGTGCATCTTAAAAGACAGGAACAGTACTAATAAAACTGCAAAAGCAGAGTCAAATAATGGTGGGCAAATGACAAAGAAGACTGCAGCTGCAACTGCCCGGGAACCACAGACACTTCTGTTCTGCGCATGCTCAGTGTGCGTAACCATACACCGTGGTTAATAAAATCACCGCCGATGTTAAATTAAACCGTATGGTGTGGTTATTTTAAAACTTACATTAGTTAATACAACTTTATAAGATGTGAAAATAACTTAATTTGGTGAAAATAACTCCTCATATTAAAATTAACCTAAAAGTAGTTAAGATAACAAAATAATGGTTACAATAACTATTAAATTTAGTGGTGAAAGTAACCAAGCAGGGGTTATTCTAACTTTTTGTTTTTACAGTGTAGAAAGGAATAATATCCGAAACCACATGGCCTACAATTAACAATAGCAAAAAATAATTATAATGTTCATACCAATAAATGATTCCCAGTTGTTAGGATAAACACTGTATGGTGCTCCTCCACCAATACCTGTTATAAGATTACTTTGTTCATCATAGCAACATTGTTGACTGCTGCTAAATTTCCTACACAATGTATTCATTGTAATAATAATTGATGCTGTAAATAACATACCCAACATTTGATTGGCGATAACAACTGTGTGCTTTTGGCTTTTTAAAAAATAACTTGCTAAAACAAAATTGCAATGCAGATTCCTTTGTGTATCTCTCAAGATCACCATTCATTTGTTCCAAGTTACAAGGGCAAGGAGGTAGATCATTTGCATCTACTCCTGGAATTGATTTATGCCATGCTTCACACGCTACTCTTTGATAAATGGATTTTTTTAGTTTTACTGCAAATTTTAAAGAACTTTTGAACGTACGAAGTAGTGAACCTCTTTTAAAATCAAGAGACTTTAACTTCACATTGATACGAATAAGGCTGACCCCGTTTTTAGCTGCTCTAACTAAATCAGGTATAGTTATGTCAGTTTCACCACTATTGGGAACTCCTTCTTTTAGGACGATGTCATTCTCCCACACATTTCTTGTGAGATCATAAGCTTGCTAAATTGAGAAAAATTCAAAATTATCATTGTATCCAAAGTTTTTAAAGTATACTAGATAGTAATCTAGTTTACCATTGTAATGTCAACTGCATCATCAACTGCACTTTTACTTAGATCTAAATCTTTTGGGTTCCATGAAAATTTGGTTACTTCTCCAACATTATGAATAAGATTAATAATTTCTCCAACATCAAAATTAATGTGCTGACATATATTTGGAACAGCTACATCAAAATAATAAAATAGTAAATATGATTAAAAATAATCTTACTGTATCGATAATTAGTAGCTCCATACATAACAGGCTCTCCTGGTCTTCTAATAATTATCTCAAGAATTATAATGCCATCAAAATGTTGTTCAGGCACTATACATACACACTTTTCTCTACTTATATACTGACAAGTTGTATAAATTTCACCAAATTTGCAACTTATATCATCATCTTGATTGAAAAAAGGCCCTGATATGCACACCAGTTCCCCTCCAAAAATATCTCCATGTGGTAGTTTGTCATTGTCATCAATATATACTGGAAATGATCCTACATTAGCAACATTTAAACAGAATTGATTCAAAATTACTAGTTTTACCATGACATTTCACTCCAGCTTGATTAAAATGGCCACAATGTCTCACAGCAGCATATGATGTATCATAAGTGCAATCTAACAGCCTAGATTCAGAACCAGTACACCTTAAACCAGATATCAGACTAGGCAAAGAGCCTTGACCAGTATAATATGATCCATAACGAGGCATGGCACCTATTAATATATAAACTATTCAGTGGCAAAGAATCATGCATACCTGATGGATAATATCCTAGTTGGTCACATGCAACATTAGCATCAGTAATACTCCAAAAATCATCACAAACAGCTCCCCAAATTTTGTTAATACACACTTCAACTCTACCTTCATGAGGCTTAGGTCCAACTAATCTCAAATCACCTGTACTGCAGTCACTGAAATGCACATCATCTAAAACATTGCTTATTTTAAATAATTTATGTAACATGATGCTTACTGTTTTGGCAAATAACACCAGCATCAGCAGTTGCAACACACATTGATATTTGTCCACCATATGTAACAGTACAATCATTTAGACTATTTTCATCACCACTGCATTTAACAACATCAACATTAGTGGGTATTAAAGTGTTTTGTGGTCCATTAGAAACTGGAATTGCCCCTATAAATAGATCATTCCAACATTATAACATCTAATGAGGTTACCATATGGAGAAAAGCCCTTCTGTCTACAAACAACAGAAGCTTCACTTTCAGTCCATGATGAATCACAAATAGTACCCCATGTCTGGTTGACACAAAAATCAACTCGCCCATATGAAGGTGGATTGCTTGTATCACCAACAATACGAATGTTTCCATTGGTACACAATGCTATTTTATCCATAATTATTGTTATCAAAAAATTAAAAATACCTTCACATTTAACTCCAGCAAGTTTATTATGGGTACACTGCAGAAGATTTGCTAAATTACTTTGGCACTGAAACAAGTTATTTTCATGGCCTCCACATTGCAAATTAGTCAAAATTATAGGTAAATCACTAGTACCAAAGATTGAAGAAAACATTGGTACAGAACCTACATAACAATAAATATAAAGGTTGCTATTGCAATCAGAGCATATACCAAAAGCTTGGTGCCCTAATGAATGACAAACTACATTAGAATCTTCAAAAGTCCAACCATGATCACAAATAGTACCCCAAATATTGTTAAAGCAAATTTCAACTCTTCCTTCAAGAAGGTTTATACCACCAATCAGTCTCACTTCACCTGTCATGCAGTCTGAATATGGGGTATCAGGAGCTATAGTATATGTGCATATAATTATCAGGGAACATAAAATCATTAATGATGCTTACATTGACAAAATGCAATAGCCTTATTACTTAGACATTGCTCATATGACAGTCCTCTTTCAGTCTGTTGAATGGAACATAGCAGAATACTATGTTCATTGCCAATACATCGAGTGTCATATAATCTCATGGGATAAATACTTGGTATAAGGGAACCATGTAAACCCAATGACCCTACAAAGTGCAAACAAAGACACAAGAATATGATATCAAAATAAGTAAACAGTTTTTAAGCTACAAAATGAGCATGTACCATGTGTTGGCAGTCCTAATTGCCTGCATACTATAGTAGCATCAATTACGTCCCATTCTTCACCACATATATTACTCCACACCCCTCTAATGCATACTTCAACTTCACCAGCATATGGATTGGTACTTCCTCTTAAACGAATTGAACCATGGGTACAACTACCTAAAAATCAAAGCACATTACACATTTGGATATATATGTAATTTAATTGAGCTTACTGACCTATACAATGAACTCCAGCAATCTCATAGCTTTCGCATTGCAATAATGAGCTAGTTGACTGTCTAGGACATTCAATCAATGATTCTTCAGAACCTGAACAAAAGAATCTACCCAACACAAACCAAGGATTGTTTGCAACACGGAAATAGTTATTGCCATATGCCTGGGAACCTGAAATAAGTACTTACTATAGCATGGTCTCAATTTAAATTTTTTACCAAAAGGTTGTAGTCCTAACTGATAGCACACTACATCACTATCATCTGAACCCCAATAGTCATCACAAACTGATCCCCAAACTTGGTTATAACAGATCTGTACATTACCTTCATTCATTACATCACCTCCAATAAGTCTGATATCACCATCACTGCAGTTGATATATTGAGTACTATTGGCTACAAAGATAGCAAAATTTCTATTATACCATAGTGAAATGAACTTACGCATACAAAACACAGATGCATCAGTGCTTTGGGAGCATTGCTGTCCAGTATTACTAGTCTGGTAGATACAATCCCATATTGTACTTTCATTACCAATACAGTGTAGCTCGTAAATACCAATTGACCATTCATAATCAATAAATACACCTGTAACTGCCTGAGCACCTATAAAAACAACTATATAGTGGCATCTGTGGGTGTTAATTTTTTGTACCATATGGTGAGTATCCCAGTTGAGAGCAAATTACAGTGGCTTCTATCACAGTCCAATGGCTAGCACATATTGTTGACCACACATTCATGATGCAAACTTCTACTCTACCTCTCAGTTCAGCACCGTCACCTAATCTAATATTACCATTTGTACAGTTACCTATATGTATCATAATTATTTAAACATTGTGTCAGTATTTACTAACGTTCACAAAAAACTCCAGCATCATTAAAATGTGAGCAACTAGTGACTTCACATGATCTATGACTACAGTCTAGTAATGTTTTCTCAGAACCAATACAATCAATATTAGCCATAAGTATAGGACCGACTCCAGGACCATACTGTCCATTTGTTATTGCTCTCCCACCTAACAAATAGCAAATAATTACAGTATGTGTGAACATTAACTGACCTATTGGCAAGTATCCCAGTTGTTTACAGACAACATTTGCATCAGTATTACTCCAACCAGCTGAACATATTGTACCCCATGCTTCATTGACACATATTTCAACTCTTCCTTCATAAGATGCAGTCAGTCTTATGTCACCACTGGTGCAATTGGACTTAACTCCAGCATCTAGATAAAAACTAAATTATAAGATGTTCTTCAATTATATTGTACCTTGGCACATTATTCCAGCATCATTGTGTTGCATACAATTAGTTATTGAATTACTGTATGAACAACCAAAGATTTGTTCCTCAGAACCATTGCAGCTAATATTAGTAATTCCAAATGAAAGTTGCCCTTCAGTGTAGCAGTTATATAGTGGCATAGCACCTGCAAGATATTTCATAACTAGTTGATTAAAATGTCATTATGAACAGTACTAACCATAAGACGAGAAGCCAAGTTGCTTACAAGCTACAGCAGCATCATTGAAATCCCACGTTTTATCACAAACTGTAGTCCATAATCTTTCAATACATACTTCAAGAAGGCCAGAGTTTTCAAAGGATGAGCCACTCAGTTTAACATCACCATTAGTACAAGCCTCTAAATAAAACAATGTATCTAAGTACTACAAACAATAATTATTCTCGTTATCTCACCTAAGCATACAACACTTGCTGATTCCCCATCACCACAAGATAAAACAGCTTTAGGTGCCGAATAGCCACAATCTATCAGTCTAGCATTAGCTTGCTCAATGTTACTTGAACAAGCAACATTAGATAACATGAAAGGACTGTGTCCATCGCCAAAATAACTACCATATAGTGGATTTGACCCTGTCAAAAAGAATTAATAGACGATTATTGAAAAAATTAACCAACCAAATGGTTGATGACCAAGCTGACTGCAGACAACATTACTATCAACTGTATCCCAGCTATTATCACAAACAGTTCCCCACATTTGATTATAGCAAATCTCAACTCTTCCCTCATATTCATTGGTACCACCAACTAATTGAATTTCACCTGTTACACAAGATTTATTTACTGTTGAATTGTCACCTATAGGACAATAACTCAATATATACATCTGCCAAATAATTATGATTGCTGACGTTGACATATAATTGCTGCATCACTATATGTTGAACAATAGCGAACAGTATCATTGTATGGACAGTCCCACAGATTATTCTCTGATCCAGTACAGTTTAGGTCATAAATAAATACAGGATAATAAAAAGAAACATATCTGTTTGTACTTGATATTATCATAACACCTGTATGTAAAAATTAAAACATCAGTTTTGTTATTTTAAGTGAAATAACTGACCATAGCTTAGGTATCCTAAATGAGAACATACAACAATAGCATCATTGAAATCAAAGCTAGAACTACAAATAGTTCCCCAGGTACCATTGATACACACCTCTACTCTACCCATATTGTCATAATCTGAACCAGACAACTGGACATCTCCAGTAGTACATTTTTCTGTAAATTTAATTTCATTCATGGTTTCTTTCATGTACCAAACCTGGACAAGTGACTCCAAAAAATAGATAGGTATATGAATTATAATAAAGCAAAGGGCTACTGGAACAATCTAGAAATGAATTTCTAACAGAACTGCAACTATACTGGAGAGGAAACAGAGGAATGTAAGGTAAATCCAGAAAAGAGCTGGAATATCCTATATTCATGCCTATAAAATAAAGAATAACTTAGCTAGAAAAAGCTGTTGTAGCTACTTAACCATTTGAATATCCCAGTCCATTACAAGCTGTGGCTCCTTTGAAATAATTATGAAAATCTCCAGCATATAGTCCAAACCATGCATTGCTATAGCACATTTCAAGCCTCCCTTGTAATGTAGCAGAGCCATTTGACAAACGCAATTGACCATTGAAGCAATCAGAATATTCAGCATCATAATCTGTAACATAAAATAATGATGAGATTAGCATACAGCCAGAAATTTTGACACTAATTCTCAAGATTTATATTGGCAGTTGCTCACCAAACCACGACCAATATTTCTAATAACATTACAGTGATAATAATACTTCCACTTAAAATTACCATAACAATACACAGAAACATCTTTCCAAATAGAACAAAGTTCTTGTCCTTGTACACTAGAGGGGCAATCCCAAATAACCTCTTCACTACCAGTGCAGTTCAAGTTCATAACATGCAATGGAACATCAAAATCAGAGTAAAGGTTTCCCAATGAGACTGAGCCTATAATGAAATAAAAAATTCTTCGATAACTATGTAGCGTAAATGGTCAAAATCACAAATTTTATCATTAACATTTTTATCACTGATGGTGTGAGCAAAAAAATCAATGCTCATGCAGGTCTATCAAAATAACTGCCCATTCATAGCACTACAGTACTTTAGCATTGATTTTTTGCTTTTGAGCACTAACAAGCAATGATAAAAATTTGTGATTATCAATTTTAAATACCTAGTTCACTATAGCCTAGATGTCTGCAAACAACTTTAGCATCTATGTCTGTAAAGAATTGGCTGCATATACCTCCCCATTCACCATTAACACACACTTCAACTCGCCCCAATTTTTCTGCTCTTGCATTATAATCAATCAATCTGATACTTCCATTACTACAATCTATAGAAGACAAAGAATCATTACCCAAAAGCAGGCATATTTACTGTGACATCTAATAGCAATGATGTCTCTGACATCGCATGTAAAGGCACTATTGTAAAGTGAGAAGCTACATTGATCAATACTGGTAGCAGATTGAGCACAGCTCATTCCTCCAACAAGAATTACATCATCAATACCAGCACTAGGGCTCTGAGCATTGTACACTTCTCCACCTGTTTAAAACAGTTTTACATGTACAGGTAAGTACCATGTCTAACCATTGCTATAACCAACTTCCTGGCAGATCATATTTGCATCCAAACTGTTACAAAAAGTTCCCCAAATATCATTCAGACAAATTTCTACTTTTCCTTCATTATGAAACTCGCCATCAACCAAACGAACATCATAATCAGTACAATTGGAGGGAGTGACATCTCTTACTGTATGAATGATGATTATATAATAAAAAGAGGCATGTAATCAAGAAGTGTGATGAAATAATACCTTGACAAATGACACCAGAATCATCAGATTGTGAGCATGTTGATCCACTAGTCTGATAAGAACAGTCTAACAGTGCATCTTCATCTCCAGTACAATTTACATTGAAAAGTTTGTGGGGAAGCTGCCTCTCAAAAAAATATGAATGGCGTGCTAATGCTCCTGTGTAACAGGATATGGCTGTTGTTATAATAATAACTATAATCTTTACCATAAGGGGAGTATC